GCTGCCGCTCCGGCGGGCTGCGGGCGCGCGTGTGTGTCTTAACTTATCGGAGTCGTGGCAGTATTGTGTTAGTGCTGGGCAGAAAAGTACCTTTGAAAGCAACTCAAAACCTCAGGCTTTGGTTTTGGGGATCCAAAAATATTTTGCACAGGGTGGTTAAGTCCTCATTGCTTTTTTTTTTGTTTTCCCTCACGATATTGGCACGTTCAATGTGACACTTTACAAGGGTTTCAGGAGCACCTGAATTGACTTTGGAGTTGGCGTCATCTTTGGCAGCATGGGTGATTCTGATCACAGGGCAGAAATGCTAATAAAGAAATTTAAAAACATCTCCAATTGCCCCGACCAGGGAAGTGTAAGTGTAGCTTTCACCAGTGCTTCAGTATCGGGCCGCTGTCACGTCGTATGTTCACAGCCTGCTGCTGCTGTGGCCCTTTTTTTTGGGGGGGGAATAGACAAAAAAAAAGAAAGACAAAAAAAAGACAGACAAAAACAACGAAGCGAGTCCCCAGCCTGTGGACAGAAATGCCGAGGAGACCCAGACTGCTTCCGAAAGGCTCTCACCGGCTGTGCGGCGGGCAGGAGCGGGGCGCAGGGGGAGCCTCAAGCCAGGCCTGACTGCATCCAGCCGATGCTGCGACCCCCGGGCCGGCACCGGCAGCCTCTCTGCCGCGGGGGCGGGGATCGGGGGGGGGGCAAGCTCAGCACTAACCTTCCAGCTGTACTTCATTACTTGAATGTATCAAAATTGTCCACATTCAATGTATACAAGTATATATTGCTCCAAAAAATTGTGGTTTACAGACCTACAACCGATATATATGTATGTGTTTGTGTATATACATACCAGGAGACGTGTGTGTATGTCTGTAGGCGCACACACAAACACAAACGTGTATATATATGTTTTCTCTCAATACTTGAAACTTAGCCACTGTGCTTGAATTAAAAAAAAAAACCCTACAAAAAAACCCACATAAAAAACCCCAATAATGGGAAGGAAAAAAATAAAACACAAATCGACAGGTGATTTATTTTGCCATCACTTTGGTGACTTTCTTTTTTATCTAACTGCATGTAGCGTGAAACCAACTTTTTTGGTGAAAAATATTTATTGCTTTGTAGACAATAAGGTATGCAAAATAAAAAAAAAAAAAAGGAAAAAAGAGAACACCCCAAAGCCCAACCCCCCAACCATTGTTGAAGTTGCTAGTGTAGTCCACCTGCTATTGTCATGGCTTTGTTGCTGTTGCGGCGTTTGTGTCTAGTGTCTGTAATAGATTTCAAGAAACCTCAGTCCAAGAAACATGTATCTTCAGGTTTGTGAGAGCGTATGATGATGGTGTTCTTTATAAGGTAATGCTTGATACTTTGTCAACTTTTTTTATTTGTGTTTGTGTGACTTTTTTTTTTGCTTTAAATTGTACACCACCAATTTAAGAAAATAAAATTGATTTGAAATTGTTAGTGGCCGGTTTTCAGTACTTTATAATTCCAGTTAGTGCAGTATCTGAGGAAGGTGTTTAATGTGTTTGGTTCTACCAGCCTTTTCAGGTGAGAATGTGCTGGTTTATCCCCTTTTCACAGAGGGAGAAGCTTGAACAAAACGAGCTACGGTGCCTGAATCCAGAGATGAAGCCTTTGAATTTGGAAAAGTTGAAGCCAGTTTCTGGGTGGGAGCTGTGGCCGCTGGTTCATCTGCCCCGGTTGCCTGGCCACGCTCTCCTCCTGCCACGGTTACAAACCCTGTTGCAAGTTGGCAGCAGACCCCTTCCCGCCCGGTCAGATGCTTCAGTCTCCTCTGTGTCTCAGTGTTTCGAGACCGGCCTGCAGGAGCGGTTCGAGGCTGGGCCTCGGTGCTCAGCGCGCTGGGGCAGGGCTGTCTGGCGGCCGGGTGGGAGGACGAGGGCTGAGTGGAGGTTTGTGGTGCTGTTTTTATGAGGCCTGATAGTTTTGTGTTACTTCAGACTCTAGTTTTTTTTTAATCAATAGAGTCAGGAAGGCTGCTGCCGTGCAAGAGAGGTACTTAAAGATGAAGCATGAGTGTAGTGATAAGGTTTGGGTATTTTTAATTAGGATTAAATCTTTTCCTGCCATGTTTGTGCTCTTTGCAACATGTTATTTGATCGGAAAGGCACATGGCTTTGCTTTCTCTTGCCCACGTGGCTATGCAAAAAGTCACTGAACGTGGCAAAAAGTACAGCGAGGACGCTGTGAGCGTTGGTGTTGACTTTGGGTGTGAAACAGGTAGTTGCAGTCCCTGCTCCGTCTGAACCGGAATACTGCAGGATGAGAAGCCAAGCTCTGCAGCTGGGATGTGAGAGGTCCTGGCTGAACTCGTCCAGTCCTTCCGCTCTTAGAGAAGCTTCGGGAAGAGAAGCGTAAACTCCCAGGAGCAAAACACTGTCATTCCGCTGAGCGTTCCCCCAAACGCCGCTCGCTGGACCGTGCGCGTTGTCGTTGGCCATGAGCGCCCCTGGGGAGCGTCCTGCCCGCCAGCCCCCCGTGCCGCAGCATCGCCCCGTACAGCGTTGTGGTTTTGTAAGGAAAGACCCTATTTCAGGATCTTCACTTACCATCAGCTGGAATTGTTTTTTCTTGCTCAGCCAGATTTATACCTCCTGTTCCCTGCCCTGCCTTTCCCACCGCAGAGAACAGGACACCACGTGGGAACGGTCCCGCCTGGAACCGCCGGGCTCTGGTCACTTGTCATTTACAGCGACTCAGGCGCAGGGAGGGTCAATTCCTTCTCCCTGCAGAGTTGCCCCACGCTGCAGCCACGTCCGTGCCCCAGCCCTGAGAAGCTGCACTTCAGTGTGGTGGAACCGTGGTGGTACAGCCTGGGCAGGACCCCGCGGCTGCCCGCGGAAAGCTGGCCAGCGCTAAATACATGTAAGTGCTGGGGTTGCGTAAAGCCTGGCAGCTCAGCACACTTGGATCTTCGGGTTTGGGGGTTTGGGTGGGGGTCTTGGGGGATTTTTGTTTGTTTTTTTTTAATACGTAAGGCGCCCTTTTGTGGAAAAACGGTGTGTGTTTGTTCCCTGCAGCATGGGAGCGTGGCAAAGAATATGGAGGGAGAGAGAGAGAGCGAGAGACACCTATACGGGTTTCTGATGCTGAGGGTAAGGCAGGGGGCTGCTTTGGAAGCTGCCTGTGAAGAAGTTTAAAGGTTCAGGTGAAAAACCTGCAGCCAAATGAAAGATGGACCGGTGTGCGTCACATGCCCGTGTGGATAGAGAATACTCTGCTGAATCCGTGGGACTCTTTCACAGGCAGCAGAGCAAAGGGGGAAAGTGCTAGCTGGGAAGACTTAAACAACAGAAATAAACAGGCTCTTCTGAAAGCGCTGAACCATGGGGCCTGAACAGTTCAAAAGCACCAGTGAAAATTGCACAACTTTCTAGATGTTGACTGTGACGTTATGCTGCTGTTGATTCTAGGAGAAAACAAACCCGAGCAATTCTTCCAGGGCATTTGGCTTCATTCCCACATTTTATATTTAGTTGTTGATAAGTACGTCAGCAAAAATGTGCTCATTCAACTCTGAAAGACCAGAGGTGGTTTAGTGACATCAAGGAAGCAGAAATGGGTGGGCGTGTGTCGAACCCAGGCAATACAAACACCAAGTATTCCGCTCCCAGTTACAGCTCTGTTGAAGCTTTGTTTCACCAGGAGTTAACTCCTTCACAGCACGTTTTAGCTCTGCACTGTTCGCTTGGGCATCGTCTTCTCCTCCGGCACGGCACAGCACGGTGTGCCTGGTTACAGCCTGCTGCCGCGCGCTGGCCGGTGGTCCCGCTGGCCGGAGCAGGGTTAGCTGTGGAAGCTGTGCTGGCTGGAGGGGTTTTGCTGAGGGAGGGGAAGGGCTGCGTGGCAGGGAGG